GCTTCTGTCGAGTCGCCAACGAAGCGTCAACCCCAGCAGTCGAGCCTGCAACCGACCGGTTGGGACGAGCCAAAGTATAGTTCCACGTCGCAAGGCGAATGATGAATGGTCTGCATACTTGGTAAATTGATAGAATTCCCAACTCAACCGCTGAAAGCGCCACGACAGTAGAGAGATTTCGGAAATCGCCTGTACCCGTACCAGTACCCGTATATTTCTGATTTTTTTGCGGGTGGAGGTAATTGTAGGGAGGTCGCATTCGTCGATTTCGGAGCCCGGTTTTTCCCTTACCCGCAGCACGCGACGGATATGAGTTGCATATCCGGATGCTCGGCGTCATTTCCAAACCACTCGTCTGTTAGAAAGGATGCAGCAGGAGCGTCTCGTCCTCCTACTGCTTTGGTGGAGGAAGAACCGCAAGAAGCGGTTCGCGCGGTCGAGGGTCCTCGCCATCATGGCTACTTGGATCGTCGAGCGTCCTCTAGTACCTGACGTTCGCTTTGCTCTTCACGAGATGCGCAATGCAGATGCTATACTTTCATTTCGCTTTGATGTGCAGAGCATTGTACGCCTCGCCGATGTCCTCGGCCTGCCCCACGTGGTTAAAACCGAGGAAGGAGACAAAGTGTATGGTGTAGAGGCGATGTGCATCATGTTAAAGCGAATGAAGTACCCGATAACCTACTACGATATGATGCAAACGTTTGGGCGCTCTCGTGGCCAATTGGCGCGCATCTACAACTACACCATCGATTTTCTCTACGCTCAATGGGAGCATACGATCTACTTCGCCGACTACGTCGACCGTGATCGCTTACAGCTCTATGCTGATGTGGTGCACCGCCACGGCGCCCCAACGATCAATGTCTTTGCCTTTCCCGATGGCACCAAGGTCGAGACGTGCCGCCCGCATGCTTCCGTCGACGAGCTCCACAATCTCGTCGAGCAGCTTCGTCGTCTCCGACTCGTCCTCATCGACACCAGACAAAGTCATAGATTCAGCATTAGCCTTACGGTGCTTCTCTTGGAGAAGTTGGAAACGGCCCTGGAGCCTCTTGACGTCGACGTCGCGGTCGAAGTCTTCGCACTCGTTGAGGATCTTGACAACCGCTTCCCACCGCGGCAAGGCCGGGCCCAGAGACTGTTCCGTAAGAAACGGGCGCTCGAGGTTCAGCTGTCGAAGCAGCATGAGGTCCTCGTCGGCAGTCCAGTTGCGGCGCTTTGGCGCCTCCTTGGGTGGCATGGCTTGTCAAACTGGCGCGCCCTCCTCCACACAAAACCATGGTCCTGTGTTTGCGCAATCGCAGGCCACATGACCCATGCGCTTACGTAATCACAAAATGGCTCTGCTGGTACGGATTGGGCGCCCGTGCAAATCGCTAAATCCAAGGATTCCAGCATCGAGTTTCAACGGGTATCCGTAGACGCTTTAATTCTGACAGGTTTTTTTCTACGGGTACCGGTACAGATGGGCTCCGAAATCTCTCTAGTGTTAATAAAAAAGCGATTGGGTTAGATTTCAACTAGTTATCGGACGCGACTTAGACAATTTTGGTCTCAAACTTGAACGACCAGCGCTGGTTGCTCTGGTTCTTGTCGCACGGCTGGAGGCTAATGCCGGCGCTGTCGCCCGCGCTGCCCGTGGCCGCGAGACAGAAGCCGAGGTGGCCCGTGTGAAACCACTGGCCCGTCACGTCGTTGTAGAGCCACTTTTGGTTGACGTTGCTGTCGTCGCACGCGTACGTGTGGACGGCGTACCCGTTGTCCTTGCCGTACGCATCCAGACACGTCTTGCCCGACTTGGACGTGATGGTTTGCGGCACCGGGTCGTAGTACCACGCTGCGTTGTCGCTGTACGTCGCCGACATGCTCGGGTTCCACGAGACGCCGCCGTACCACTCGTTGAGGTACCCGTTGCCGTTGACTTGGATCTGCATCGGCTCGTCCTTGACGTCGCGCTTGGTGAACTTTTGGTTGGGCCCGTCGTAGCACCACCACATGCCCACCTTGTTGTTCTGCGTCGGGTCGACGTCCATGCACTGGTTGGCGCCGTTGAGGCTCTGGAGGTGACCGTCCGACGTAAACTGCCAGTTCTGGTTGGCGTTGCCGGCCGTGCAGCCGTAGACGTGCACGTTGAGCGGGTTGTTGCTACCGCCGTATGCGTCCAAGCACTGGTGCGACGCCTTGGAGTAGTACGCTTGCGAGTCGGGGTAGTAGAACCAGATCTCATTGTCGAGGTTCGAGGCCGGACCTTGCGCCGGCGCCTCGACGAGCAGCGCGTTCCAGTTGGTCGGGTCGACCTTGAGCACCGCATTGTCGCCGTGGTAGATGCGCGTCGCGATCGGCTTGCTCCCGACGGTGATGGCCTGCACCGGGCCCTTGAGGTTGATGTTCTTGTCAAAGATACCGAACGACTGCTCGATCAAGTCGCCGGGGATCGCGAGGTCGATGGCCGAAAAGTAGTAGTAGTTGAGGCCGTGCTTCTCCGCAAACGCGAGAAAGTCCTTCGTGTACACACCCTGCGCTTGCGGCGAGGCCTCGACGACGAGGTTCTTGTCGTCCGCCGTGCTCCAGCCCGTCTCCGAGATGATGATCGGCTTGCCCTGCGCGCGCGCCTGCTTCTGGACGTCGCCCCAGTGCCACCACAGCGTCTCGACGCCTTCGGCTGCCGTCTTGTTTTCCCAGAGCGAAAACTGGTTCACCGACACGACGTCGACGGCCGAGTAGATGGCCGGGAAGAGGTTATATGCGTCCATGACATCGGCGATCGTGACGGGGAAGAGGATGCCCTTGCTGCGGAGGTACGAGCGCACGTTGGTCAAGTGGTCGACGAGGAGGTTGTAGCCCGTAAGGTCCGTCGCCGGGCGCTTGCCCTGGATGTAGTAGCGGTACAAGGCCTCGCTCGCGACTTGGACGCCGGCCACGTTGTCGTTGCGCACTTGGTTCGACTCGACGAGCTGCTTGAGGTTCTTGAACTCGCTCGCAAACGCGTCCGAGACGCCGGACGCCGGGACGTCCGACCAGAGACCGATCCAGATCTTGAGGCCGGCGTCCTTGGCTGCGGTGAGGATCTTGCCCGTGCACGCCGTCGAGTAGATGCGCACTTGGCTCGTCGTCTTCTTGAAGGCCGCAAACTCGGCCGCGACCTCGTGCGCGTACTTGCAGCCGTCCTTGTCATAGCCGCGCGTGTCGTAGTTGAGACCGTCAAACTTGCGGTCGAGGGCCGCGGTGGGCGCGGCGAGGAGGGCCACGGCCGTAGCGAGGGCGAGGGACGGGACCTTCATGGCGACTGCTGCTGCTGCTGCTCAAGCAAGTTGGGTTGTGCGTGCTGAGGGCCGTCGCTGCGTCGGGTGTTGTAATCGCGACCGGCTCTGTAACACTCGGTCGCACCAATGGCCTTTCACTGTCTCCACCTCGCCAGCCAATGAAAACGCGGGCTCCTTCCCGAAGTTCGAAGATCGAACGCGACCAGAAGGTGCCTCAAAACCAAGTGCAATCTCGGTAACGCGCCCGAGCTTCTACTTTGGAAGCGGCCACCCGAGGCGGACCCAAGTGCAGAAAGAACTCCATCGTCCTCAGCAGTCACGTAGTAAGTACACTGTACATCCCTAAACACTGCGTTCTTATAATGTTCTTCGTAGTCTTTAAACGGCCCGAGATTCCTGTCGACAGAAGGCGACGATGCCAGTACCGTTGGCGCCATTCCCGGATCCGCCCTCCCGCAACGTCCGCATCGCTGCAACGTGCGCGAATCTCTGCACGCGGCGCCAAAAGATATTGCGCCGTGTCGCATGCGTTCGATCGTGCCGACGATCGGGCGTGGCAAGCCGTCGTCGACACTGTCGTCGACTGGCAAGAACCCGTGGCGTCAGCTAGTAGGTGCGTCGCGGCCCCAGAGTGGACCGTACGTGGCATGGTCGTAAGAGCGTCGTCGGTAGAGGACCGAAGGCCCGTCCTTGCAGTACAGCGATCAGACGTGGCAAGGCTGCAACGCATTGTGGAGACTGATAGGCGCGTGACCAACGACCGCCACTGTTGGGCGACAGCGTGCGGCTGCAAAAACCAAGCATAACGCTAGTTAACACTGCGTGGAGTACCGGTAGTAATACTGCATCACAATATGGATACAAAGAGTACAGCCAAGGTTACGAGCGTGAGTTGGTTTAGTTGGTGGCGAAGGCCATTGGCCACTTGTGTGACGCCTTGGTCTTGTCGCAGTAGTCGAGGTGCGTCTTGCCGTTTGCGAGCGTGTCGAGACAGAGACCGAGCTTGGACGCATGCATCCACTGGCCAGTCACGTCGTTGTGCTGCCACTTTTGGTTGGCGTTGGCGTTGTCGCAGTCGTACACGTGGACGGCGACGTCGTTCTCGGTCTGGTAGCCGTCGAGGCACTTGCCCGAGCTCTTGGACTTGAGCGTCTGGTGGAGCGGGTCGTAGAACCAGACTGCGTTGTCCTTGTACTTGACGTCCGAGGTCGCGACCACGTCGCCGTACCATTCGTAGAGGTACGTGTTGCTCTTCCCGAGCGTGATGGCCTCGGCCGCGACCGGGCGCGCCGCAAACTTTTGGTTCGGACCGTCGTAGCACCACCACATGGCCACCTTGTCGTCCTGACTCGGGTCGACGTCCATGCACTGGTTGGCGCCGTTGAGGTTCGTGAGATGGCCATCGTCCGACATCTTCCACTTCTGGTTGGCGTTCTCGGCCGAGCACGCGTACACGTGCACGCTGAGCGCGTTGTTGCTATCGCCGTACGCGTCCAAGCACTGGTTGGAGCTCTTGGAGTAGTACGTCTGCGAGTCGGGCTGGTAGAACCAGAGCTCGTTGTCGAGGTTCTTGCCGAGACCGGACGCTGGCGCTTCCACGAGAAGCGCGTTCCAGTTGGCCGGGTCGACCTTGAGCACCTTGTCGCCGTGGAAGAGGCGCGTCGCGATCGGCTTGCTCCCGACGTGGACGTTGGCAATGTCGGGCTTCATGTTGGCGTTGCCGTCAAACATGCCAAACGTCTTCTCGACGAGGTCGGCGTCGTGGACAAGGTCGATGGCCGAAAAGTAGTAGTAGTTGATGTTCTGCTTCTCGGCAAACGAGAGAAAGTCCTTGGCGTAGCGCGCCTGGGCGTCCGGCGAGGCTTCGGCGACGAGGTCCTTGTCGTCGCCGGCGCTCCAGCCCGTCTCGGAGATCATGACGGGCTTGCCGGCGGCTTTGGCCTGCTTGGTCACATCGCCCCAGTGCCCAAAGAGCGTGCTGACGCCGTCGACGGCCTTGACGTTTTCCCACATGGAGAACTGGTTGACCGAGACGACGTCGACGGCTTCGTAGAGCTCCGGGAAGAGGTTGTATCCGTCCATGACGTCGGCGACCGTCACGGGGATGTTGATCTTGTTTTCGCGCAAGTACGCCCGGACGCGCTTCATTTGCTCGATGAGCCAGTTGACGCCCGTCTTGTCGGCCTTGTCGTGCTTGCCCTGGATGTACCAGCGGTAGAGCACCTCGCTGCCGATCTGGATGCCGGCGACGTTGTCGTTGCGGATCTTCTTGCTCTGCACGAGCTGCTTGAGGTTGTTGAACTCGCCGTCAAACGCGTGCGTGTACGTCAGATCGGACCAAAGACCGACCCAGACCTTCATGTTGTTCTTGGCTGCCGCATCGAGAACATCGGACGTGCACGCCGTCGCGTACACGCGGATCGCGTCGGTCGTCGCCTTGAAGGCCGCGACTTCGCGCTGGATCTGCCACGGTTGCTTGCAGCCGCTGCCCGACGCCGGCTTGACGTCGTAGTTGAGGCCGTAGAACTTGCGATCGAGCGCCGCGACATGGCCCGCGGCGAGCGCGAGAAGGAGCACAGAGGGTACTTTCATGCTGATGTGGTTGTGTCGGAGACGGAAAGTTGTGGAATGAGCTTTTACAGCGGTTGCAATCGCGCGGTTGCAGTGACTCACGCGCCACCGGGTCAGGTGTGGGTGTTGGAAAAAATGACAATGTTTTCCGGTAGGATGCAAGGCCGGATCGAAGCCTGGTTTTGAAGAGAATAGACTCTTCTAGGATACAATTAGGACTAGGACAATTCCGATCGGAAAATGCTTGGTATGTGCAACGTAGTTCGAAGCTGTAGACCACAGCTTGAGCACACGGTTTGTATGCACAATCGAAGTTAAAATAGACAAAGGCGACCAGGTGCAACGGATCTCTGAGGTTACACGCTGATGTTTGCGACACGACGGCAAGCTTTGGCGTTGGCGCACGCCACGCCGCTGCACCGACGACGCTGCATCCATGCGTGAGTGCGAAAGCGGCAAGATGAACCCGACGAAAGGGTACGAGTCGCCCGCATCAGCCTGCCCCAGCGACGGCGGCTGCCACGGGCTTGCCGCTCGTTGTAATAGATCGAGTCCATCGAACAGCAAACGCCTTTCGCAGGCGGAGGTGGTCAACGACGACGATTCAGAGGCGACTGTACATCGTACTCGAATTTTGACCAAGACATTCAGTAGCCGCAATATTCCAGCGTTGCGTCATCCAAATATGCAGCCATACAGAGCCACGACGACGGGTACGAGCGGTCGTGGCTACATCGTGTTACCTCGGCCGATACTAACTGTAGCAAGCGCGCACGCCTCTACGTGGGCGAAACACACGACCAGCGCAATTGGTGATGCATTGGATTGAATAGAGTGCTGAAGGGAAGAAGTCATGGTCGATCGATTCAAAATCGTGGCATGCGGAGGACGCAGCGTTATCGCGTGACGCACGCAGCGGTTTCAGCTCCGTGTCACCGGCGATGATGTAACCGCCAGAGCCAAAACAAAGCTCCTGCGACCTACAATATGGTCCAAGACCAGGAATCTGACATACCAACAACTCGGTGGCTCATGCTATTCATTATGTCCTGATCATAGCGTACTAGGACGTGAATCGATGCTTGTTGGTAGGCAAACGCGCCGTCGCTGCTGCTAATCACAGCTCTACTCGGCTGGATGGCCTCCTAGTACAGTTCCAGACTGCACTGTGCGCGAGCTTTGGTGATGCAGTGAGGGCTCCCATGACGTTGCGCAACCTCAAACGAGTGTGCGGGATGTTCGAATACCATTGCAGTGATGCACTGTGTCATCGTGACGTAAGGTACATCGCCATGCGCGAAATGCCTCTCCATTTAAGTTTCCTCTTGTTGGTCGCCTTGCCGGGTTCGCGCGCTTTTGCAATACAAAGAACGAGTGCATTGCTTCACGTCTAGCACACGTTCCACGTTCCTGCGAGCCCACCCCATGGGGCGGGACCTGCCAAAGTTGTGTATATATTGGTATGAACTGCCTCGTACATGAAGCGCAATTGTATACCTACTGTGATCAACCCTTGGATGAAAGCGCACACTAAGAATTTTAGTGCGTAGTCGGCGGGGCTCAGATCTTAGTCTAAGATCAGAGCCCCGCCGACTGCTGGACTATCATGTACGTTACTAGTACTCTTTACCGGAGGTAGTTTGCAAAGGAGGCAGAAGCCAAACGCAGGGGTTGGGTTTGCGTTCTTTTGCTGGTTGTCGTTACTCTTGCAACAACGGTGTCGTTCAAAAGATCGCGCCATTTCGGGCAAGTTCCGTTGCTGGCTTGGCGCAAAGCGATGTGATTGGCTTCGAGAGCCGGATACGATCGCCACATTATCCAATCCGGGTCCGTGTCCGGATACGGAAGCTTTCGAAAGTTGCTGCAAAGAGGATCGCAACTGCCTCACGGGCACGCATGCTCTGCGACGACTGCAAGAAGAACAGCGTCACGGTGTTCCGGCCAAAAGCCGGCGGCCTTGCATTGTGCGCCAACTGCCGCAAGCGCCGCAAGGCGGAGGGCACCACCGCTTCAGCTGCCGCCGGCGCCCGGCCCGCGGTTGCAGGCCCAGCCTCGGTGGCCCCGCTGCCACTGACGTTGATTGCTGCACCCGTGACGTTTGTCGCTATTGCACCCACAACCTTGGCTTCGGCGCCGTCGCTGACGTCAATGAACGCGTCAACGAAATCGCCCATGGATTCGGATGCCGTCGCGCCGCACCCGCCGATGTCGAGCGATATTGAGATGCTGCTGGCCGAGATCTATCGGCTCCGAACCGTCGAACGCTTGCAGCACAAGCAAGTGTGCAACCAACACGAGCAGGTGCTGGCGCTGGGCAAAGCTGCTGCCCACCAGAAGCA